ACTTTCCGCACTAAAATAACAATCCTCTTTCATGACCCGTCTCTAGGCCCCTTTTTAATTACTATGCTTTTATTTTTTTTTTTTTCAAAACCCGGGGCCGGGGGCGTTGATCCCCGAAACCTCTCTCCGGGGAAAAACAAAAAATAGAAGATTTACTGTTATGCAGACTACTCATATTGTAAAAATGGTATAAATTATATCAGCACCTAGTGAAAAAAATATTAGACTTCCCAGTTGACTCATTGGACGTGTGGTGATTTGTTTACTCTTAAACTTTGGTAAAAAAATCAAACATTCCGCTACTTTGAGCTCAATTTCAAGGTCGTTTTCATCGGGAAACTAATCAAAACCACCACTATTCTGTAATATGTTTTCCATTCTATCAACTGAGACCATGGAAACGAGAATACAACCATAAAACGATACGAAAACAGACCTCAAAGTTGGCATTTTAATTCAAAAACACAGTCAAAAATTTTTCTCTCATTATGCACTGCATGCTTCAGGATTTTTTTTTATACAGTGCACACTGACCACACAGACCCATTCTCTCTCACATGTGGGACTACCACTTTCTCCTGCTTGATTTGAAGCCACTAAAAATTAATAAGTACAGTGGACCCCCGCATAACATGGCATCACAAGCGATTATTTCGCATACCGCTTACTTTAATTGCAAAAATTTTGCCTCACATACCGCTTAAAACCCGCTTACCGATTTTCGTCCGAGACGCGTCCAATGTGCGGCCTAACCACGCTCACATGTTCCGCCGGTGGCATTGTTTACCAGCCAGCCTCCGCGGTAACATCCAAGCATAAAATCGGAATATTTCGTATTATTACAGTGTTTTCGGTGCTTTTTCTGGAAAATAATGACCATGGGCCCCAAGAAAGCTTCAGTGCCAACCCTACAGCAATAAGGGGGGAGAATTTCAATGAGATGAAAAAAAAGATCATTGAAAAGTATGAAGTGGAGTGCATGTCTCCGAGCTGGCCAGGTTTAAATAAACCCCAATCAACCATCGCTACTATTGGTGGTACAGCTGCTGCTGCTGCTGCACTGGGCAGCTGCTGCGCTGCTGCACTGTCAGCTGCTGCTGGGGGGGGGGGGGGGTGCTGTAGCACCGTTGTTGGTGTGGCTTATTGAGAATACCAAGAAACAATTAACCCCAGAGGATTTGCCACCCAGGATAACCCAAAAAAGTCAGTGTCATCGAAGACTGTCTAACTTATTTCCATTGGGTCCTTAATCTTGTCTCCCAGGATGCAACCCACACAAGTCGACTAACACCCAGGTGAACAGGAAAAATGCCTGGGAAATAGTGCTCATATTGGTGAATTTAAAGCCAGCAAAGGTTGGGTTTTAAGGGTTTAAGAATCGTAGTGGCATACACAGTGTGATAAGGCCCTGGGTTTTGGAAGAAAATGCCAAACAGACCTACAGTACTCAGGAGGAAAAGGCACTCCCAGGAAAACAGTGTCTCATCAGTCATTGCGCATCTTTAATAAAGGTAAGTGGGCATTTATTCTTCATTTAGTAGACTATACATGCACAATATATACTGTGCATATACTACTCTACTATTGTGCATGTATCCTTCCTTTGTGTGGGGGAAAATGTATATTTCATGTGGTAAAATTTTTTTTTCATACTTTGGGTGTCTTGCACGGATTAATTTGATTTCCATTATTTTTTATGGGAAAATTCATTCACATAGCGATTATTTCGCATAACAATTACCCCTCTTGCACGGATTAAAATCGTTAACCGGGGTCCACTGTACATATACGTTCGGGAACACTGGGTCTTAAGACGTATACAGATGGCCGAAACAGTCAAAGGGTCCAGAGGCCAAATTTCAAAGGGGTGCACCGGTGTCCAAGAATTTTAAAAATAAAAATTTTTTTTAATTTTTTTTTATGAAATGGTAGAAAAATCTTTTCTGAAGGTAATAAAATAAAAAGTACGAAATTTGATGGAAAATTGACGAAATTATGCCGTCATGAATTTTTATGTGTCAGGTGATTTTACGCATGGGCGTTTTTTGCAGACTTTGACCCCATTTTAGGCTATTTCAATAGTATTATTTCCCATTCTATCAACTGAGGCACAAGAATTCGCCAAGTCAACTGTTTCAACTACAAAATAAAGTGATCGGAAATTGGTAATTTGGCCAATTTAATTCAAGTTTCAAAATTCTCCCGTTTCAAAGAGGGCTCAGAATAAACATTTCAGGCATTCCTGGCACAAAACAACATTTCTCTGTTCATTAGTTATGTTTCAGGCTTTACTGAAGAATTCCATTTTGATTTTTTAAATTTACAATAATGAATTTTTATTCAAACCAAAAAATAGAAAGATTTAAATGTTATGCAATACTTAAAAATGTAAAATTCATCACCATATTTTGAATGCAAAAAATAGACCCACCACTGGCATGTATTGACGTATGAGGTCGTTTGTTTACTCTTGAATATCGGGAAAAATTTAACATTTCTTTCTACTATGAGCTCAGTTTCAAGCCATTTCCAGTACTAAAACCAATCAAAATCATCTCTATTTCTGTAATATGTCTTTCCCTTCTACAAATGAGACCAAGAATCGCAAATACAACTTTAAAAAACATAAGAAAAAACACTGCAAAGCCACTGTTTTAATTGAAAATTATGGTCCCAGTTTTTTTTCTCTCATTATGCACTATGTGCTGCAGGATTTGTTTTATGTGGTCACACATACCACACAGATGTATTCTCTTATATCAAGACTAAAATTTACCACTCACAGCTTATCAGAGTAAGCTGAGCTTATGACGTAGATCTACGGTTTGGACCCCTCAACGTAAAGCCGTAGATCTATGGCACGGACCCTCAAGGGTTAATAGCCAACACCAAAAACAACAAACTTGCTCATTACTGTATCACTGTAAAATAATACTGGATTTTTCTTGGTTATTATTCTCTAAAATTCATTTATCTTTAATGAGACTGTTGGCTATAGGTGTGACAAGTTCCTGTATGTTTGGTAAAATTTGGTAAAGAAATGCAACATATTTACTGAAGTTGGTGACAATGGTGATAGGTGATACCGCTTGCCAAATGTATGTATAGTTACTGTACATGGGAATATCAATCGTCAACATACACACTAGCATATCAACAAGCAACACCAACTAATGGTACAATTTAATAACGATAGCAGGTGATGTTAGTGTATGCCACATGACTGCACAAGTATTGTACAAGGCTAAATCAACCTCTATATCAACAAGTAACAGCAATTATCAGTATTATTTAGTAAGGATATGTAGCTTATTTCCTACCAGTGCTAGTCAGTGATGGATGTGGTAACTGATAATGCCTGCCATGTTTACACAGGTATTGTACAGGGCTACATCAACACTCTGCACACAATATAAGCAATATAAGGAATGGGAAATTATTTTTTTTTTTGATGAATTACAAAACTTAAAATGTTTATCTGATTTTTGTAATGTGAGAAACATAACTCTATTTTTCCTAAATGCTCTTCAATTCACTTAATATGGTTTTTTGTGTAACACACTTGTTTCAGGAACATAATCATGTATTTCAAGATTCCAACGGCATATTACAAATACTTTGCTTCTAGCATACTAATTACATTATCCAGTACTTTCTCACTTTCAATTAATGATTAACCCTTTCAGGGTCCATGTCGTAGATCTATGGCAATACGTTGAGGGTCCAAAAGGTAGATCTATGCCAAAATTCTAGCAGCATCAAATTTAGTGCAGGAAGGCTCGTAGGCCTACATCTGAGAGAACGGTCTGTGTGCTGTGTGTGCGCTGTAAACAAAAATTCTAGGCGCCCACATGGCATTGTGGGAACACCGCCTCAGTAACCTTTGTTCACCATGCCTCGCGGCAAGCAGCTCTAACTCTGAGGCAAATTGGGACTCGCCTCTTCGTAACTGATACTTTTGACTCTGATGGAAGTGGAAAAGAACAATAATTCTATGGCTTTGATCGATTAGTGACTGAAAGCAATGACAGGATATCGAAAATAGTGCAGAAAATCCTGATGATCCTCAACCTTCTACCTCTGATGTGGGCATGTATCAGTCACATTCAGTTGTACCTCGTCGCAAGAGAAAACTATTATTTTCGTGTGGCCAGGCCTCAGACTTCAGTAATGATGATGATAGTGATGTGGACTGTGATTTTATTGCTCTTGATGATCATTCATGTAGTGATAGTGATGAAATCCTATTCACCAGTGAAGCGTCGATATATATGCCGCCACATGCGCTCAGGTAGTGTTCCCTATCAGTGCCCTTGGGACAGAGTACATTCCAGAGTACATCCCGTGGCCCTACACCAGGAATAGACAGTGAAAGTGAGGATGATGTGGCTACACTTGGCATGGATAGACCACAGGCATCAGTAGGTGTGGTAGTGGTGATGGTAGTGCCAGGGCCATGCATGACTCACCAGCCCAGGCTGGGACCCATGCTGCTGACTCCTTAGTTCAAGGACAAAGTGGAGCGTCAGCCACCACCCCGCCACAACCACAACTACCACCACAACCAGCTTATGATGTTCAGTATCCACCAGCAAACCGTATCTGGGATTAGCAGCAAATCCCAATTTTGTTCCCAAGCCCCACCAGTTTGATGACTCTCAAAGTGGAATCTACCAACTTGTTCCTTGGAAACACTGCAGATGAACTGGAATTTTGAACTATTCTTGACCAGCCCTTGATGAAACTATTGCAGGGAAAGTAACAAGTATTTTGAGTACACCATGCAAATACGATGATATCACCACAGTCAAGACTACACTGTGAAAGAGAGAACTGTTGCACAAATGTATTTGCTTTTTACAACAATAATGCTTATGCCTCATGTCTACAAGCATAATATAAAATCATACTGGTCCACAGATTGGCTAATTTGTACCCCGGTCTTCAGTGAAATCATCCCAGTGAAGAGGTTTATCTTACTGTTATGTATGTTGCACTTCTCTGACAAAACCAGGCCTGACAGAAGTGACAGGTTATACAAGTTTAGAAATGTTTTTATGTATCTGAAACAAAAATTCAACATGTACTTTCATTCATTCAAGAATCTTGTAACTGACGAGTCTTTGATTTTGTTCAAAGGTAGACTGTTGTTCAAGCAGTATATACCAAGCAAGAGGAAATGCTTTGGTATAAAACTGTTTGTACTCTGTGACTATGACAGTGGCCTGGTATTGGATATTATTGTATACACATGAAGTAAAACATTGAAAGATATCAGGATGTTATTGAGTATCTCAGGTGACGTAGTGAGAAACATGATGGAACCTTATCTTAGTAAGAGGCATACATTATATACTGATAAATGGTACACAAGCCTTTTACTCAGTGATTTCTTGCAAGTGAACATGACAGATGTGTGTGGCATAGTGGGTTCTAATCGTAAACATATGCCCAGGTTCAATGCAGGCACTCGTGCTGGTGAAATGCAGGTGTTTACTGCCAAGACATCATGGCATTACGGGGGCATGACAAAAGAGATATCACACTGTTAAAACCCTTTCAGGGGTAACAAAATGCAAACGGGGCCCAAAAGTTGATAGAGGGGACTAAAAAACCCGTATTCTAAAAAACCAGTAACAGTGATTGATTATACAAAAAAAAATGCGTTTTTTTGACAAATGTGACAGGGCAGATTGGCTTTGTTGATTTTTTTGTAAGAGTTAAATTGTTTAAATGAAATTTTCTTCCATCTCATGGACATTTCAAGCCCCTTGCATATAATATTACCAAATAAAAAACCGGTAACAGACCCCGTATGGTTTTTTTGTTTATCGTTGTGGGAACAACTCATAATGAATACCGGGTTTAAAAAACCCCTGCTATAAAAAAACCGCCCCCGAACCCTCAGGAAATACCCAAGCTTTTTGGGGGGGGGGGAAAGGTGATCATTTTCATAATACAGTTCCTGCAACTAAAAAGAAATTTTGCTAAAAAGTTTGTTGCTTTCCTGTGAAAAAACCCAAAACGCGGAAAACAAAACACAAAGACACTCGGTTTATGTGCGAGGAATGTAAGGAAACCTCTGTGAAAATGAAAACCTTGTTTCAAGGACTTTACAGACTGCGTTCTAAAAAACATGCCCGGGGACTGTGGTTTGGGTAAAAAAAATAATAAAACATTAGTTTTAAATAAAAATTTGTGCATGTTTATTGTATAAAAAAAATTCAGGGGCCCCTCGCCTAACGATATTAACCCTTCTTGGGGGCTCATCGTTGGGCCGAAATTATCGTTACCCAAAATTTATCTTCCCCATAAAAAAATAATGGAAAAAAAAAATTTAACCCGGGTTCCTAACCCCCAAAGTATAAAAAAAAAAAAACCCCAGGTGAAAAAATACCAATTTTTTTTTACCCCCAAAAAAAGAAGAAGACATGCAAAATTTTCTACTCTACAAAATAAAGAATACTTTGACACTTACCTTTATTGAATTCTTGGGGGTTATTGTGGGGGGGGAAAAGGGGGGGAAAATGGTGGAAGTTGTTTTTTTTGGGGGAAAGGGGGAATCCCCTTCCATGGATTTGGGAGGTAGCAAGCCCTTTTCCCGGGGTTTTATTTCCCCTTCTTTTTTTTTAATTTCCACAAAGGCCCAGCTTAGAGTCACGGACCTCTGTCGCAAAAACAAATCGGTCCTTTAAAAGCTTGTACCTCGCGTTCCTTTACGTTTTTTTCCTAAAAGGGGACCAAAAAACAATGTCATTTTTAATTTAGTCACCACCCGGGCTTGCAATAGCTGTGTTAGGGTGATTTTCATCCAAAAAGGTTTGAAGTTCAACCCACTTTGCACCCCTTTCCCTTTAATCTTTTTTTTCAATTCCACTCAAAATTCTCACCCTTTATCCCACAGGGTTGGCACTAAAAACCCTTTTTTGGGGGCCCCCAGGGGTAAACTTTTTTGGGGCAGTTACAAGAAACTAAAAACACGGGGATAACATGAAAGGGAAACCAAATTTTATACGTAGATGCGGGTGGCACTGGCGGGCTTGAAAAACAAGGGCCCCCGGGGGGCACCCTTTGAAAGGTCCCGGCCCGAATCTTTTGCGGAGTTTTTTTTTTTCCGTTAGGCAGGGCAAAATTTTTATTAAAACCACTTTGTTAGGGGATTGAATGTTATGCGTGCTTTTCGTTAGGCGGGGGGTCCCTGAAATGGTAAACAATTTTTATAAAATTTTAGTGCGGTTATTGTTTTCCCAATTTTCAGTGAGTGTATATTTTTTTTTTTTTTTTTTTTTTTCCAAAAAAAGTCGGCCTTTTTCCCAAACCGAGGCAGGGTGCCCCAAAAAAAAAAAGAAAATCCCCAAAAAAAAATACTTTCATCTTCATTAAAACCTTTCACCCACTCGCACTTTAAACACTTTTTTTGCAAGGTGCTCAAATACAAAAAGCCCCAAAGAAAAAACATATAAAAAACCCCCCAAAAAATTTCCCCCCCAAACTCCCAAAAATTTTCCCCAAACCCCCCCCTTTAAAAGGTGCAGGCATTGTATTTTCCCTTTTCCCCAGGCCCCAAGCGACTATAAAAATAACCGGTTTCCCTAAACCCCTTTTCACAAATTTTACCCTGTTTCACACTCCAACAGATCGTCAGGCCCCAAGTCCCATTCGTCGCCTTTAAATCCTATCTAACACGCTCACGCACGCTTGCTGGAACCCCAAGCCCCTTCCCAAACCAAAACCCCTTTTTCCCCCCTCCCCAAACCCCTTTTCGAGGACGACCCCTACCCCCCTTCCTTCCCCTTAGTTTTTTATATCTTTCCATGTCATTCTACTTTGACCCTTTCCCTCTCTAAATGACCAAACCACCTCAAAAACCCCCTCTTCTCCCCTCTGATAAAAACTTTTTTTTAAATCCACACCTTCTCCAATTTTCCCCCACATTTCCTTTTTTTCTGCTTTAATATTTACACCACACATTCCCCTTAAACAGGACATTCCATGCCCCCCCCCAACCTTTCTCCCGCTCTGCTTTTCCCACCCAAGCTTCACACCCATATAAGAGTGTTGGTACTACTATACTTTTTTCATTCCCTTCTTTGCCTCCTTTGGATAACGTTTTTTGACTCCACATATACCTCAACCACCACTCACCTTTTTTCCCTCATAAATTTTAAATGATTAACCTCATCCTTCATAAATCCATCCCCGACACGTAAAACTCCCAAGAAATCTGAAAACATTCACTTCTTCCATACTCCTCCCCCCCAATTTGATATCCAATTTTTTTTTATCTAAATCTTTTGGATCCCCTTATCACCTTACTTTTTTCTATGTTCCCTTTAATTTCTCCCTTTACACATATTCTAAAATACCCACTAACCTTTGAAATTTTTTTTTTGAATTCCCATAAGCACAGTATCAATCTGAAAAAAGTAACTGTGTCAATTCCCTTTTTTTGGAATTTGTTTCCCCCATTTTTTAAAATCCCCCCCCTCTCCCGAACCCCCTTTTACCCATTTACTTTTTTTTAAAACCCCCATCTAAAAATTTATATTAAACAACCTTGGTGACATTACAATCCCTTTTCAAAAGACCTACTTTTACTGGGAAAATTCCCCCGTTTCTTCTCACACC